GATGCAATAAAAATGCTTATAATTTGGCAGCATGCTCTTTTAAAGGAAAGCCAAGAGTGTGTTCTATCCCAAGGAGGAGAAGGTGGTGACAGTTAGGACACATCGCTCAGGGCAGTTTGGCTGCCAACACCTCTGCCTCTATTTCTGTTAATAAATGTTATATCCAGGAGAACGGTATGTTTATTAATGAGCCCACAGTCCGCTCAGTCTCCAGGTAGCTTGTGCTTGTCTGCCACCCACAGTGAGGGCAGGTGCTGGACAGTGTGTCATCAGAGGGTGGGTCTAGGGAATGTTTACCCTGTGCATTTTTCACTTTAGCAAGCCTCATACATAAAATCCAGCATTTATTTACAAAACAGACAAAGAGGAAACTTCGATAATGTTTGCTGAAGGTTCTTTACAAAAAGGAAATTTAGGAGACTTAAATGATTTAATTTGCCAAAAAGAATTTGTTTTAATTGCACCCCATTTTGCAGGGGCCTGTCTCATGTAGTAAACGAGGTTCATGACAGTAGCCATCACTCAACTGTCAGTAATAAAAGGGAGAGTCCAGGCCACTGCTGCCTGGAGTCTCTGGTTGCCAGGGCAGCAGGAGGGACGCGAGAGCAAATAAGGAGAAGCAGATCCCTGGAGGAATGCGTGGGCCGGAGCGAAAATTCACACGTGAACCTGAACTGCTCTGCTGTCGATTCTCTGAAATGAAGTTGAGAGGCTGGAAATTCTTCATTCTTTTACTTGGTCAAGTTTCTTCTTCTTTTTTTCTTTTCGCCAACACTTCAAAATTGGGATATTTCACATAAAAAGCAGATTTCTAGCTTCTATTGAAAAAGCAGGAGACCCGGCCACACTGGGTCCACCCTTCCAGGGAAACAATCCGCTAAACCGGGCAGCAGTGGCTGCTCCCTGCACGCAGTGCGTGGGCTCTGCCGCTTGCCGCAGCCCCATCGCTCCACGCTGTCTTCGCAGTGACGCTAAGTGCCACTAACTATGTATCACGGCGCTAAAAGAAATATTTATTTGTATTATGGTTCTTTCGAGTGTGGGAACATGAAGAATGGGCTTAGAAGACCAGGTTTTTTAAGAAAACCAGAAACCAAAGACTGCTATATATGACAGGACAACAAATGTCCACACATCGGACCCCAACTTGAGAGTCCTTGCTGTGCACTGACTGGGGGCTGTGCGGCTCCTTCAGTAAAGGCGGAGAGGGGGACTTGGGGAGTCACACTCAGGTCTTAACAGAAAAATACAGCGTGAGCACAGGAAGCTGCCGTCGCAGTGGCTGAGGGGCTGGCGAGGACGTGGACAGTTCCACCTCCGCGGAACGTGGACGGTGAGGGCAATCCACGAATCCGTCATTGAAAGGTGGATGGGAATTAATCGAACACGTTGATCGACTCTAACCTTAACTGTTGAGCACGAAGCCTTAGCCTCGCACAGAAATGAATTTGCCCTGGTCGATTTGGCAGCTGCTCAGCCCCGGCCAGCCCCGGCCAGCCCCGGCCAGCCGCCTACTGGTCTATTTGAAACCGGGATGAAACTGAACGCAGCTGCACGGCACAAGGGGAAATGCAAAACCCACAGAAATCCCACGTGCTTCGCAGCTGGATCACCAAGGCGGCTTCCTGCGGCTGCCAAAGAGGAAACTGGAGAAGAAGGAAAACCCTAAGTCGAAACCAAAAGAAAACAAAACACCAGGCTGCTTTTTCATTTTTCAATCTGAACAGATCATTCCCTAGGGTGAGAACACAGCACATTTCCTAAACAAGCACCTTACAAGCAGAGCACAGGGGCCCAGCCCCAGGGGTCAGCGTTTGGTTTCCACCCCTGCCCTGGGCAGGGGACAAAAAGAACCACACCTCTTTACATAAGCATCTTAAAGAGACCAAAGTGGAGTGACAGATTTTATTTAATTAAAATAGATTAAAAAGACTGTGTAAAAGAATTAGAATTCTCAATAATTTACTATTATTTACATTAGCAAATGTTGGTCGTTAGTAAAACTGAGGAGAGAAGCTCACAGAACCCAGACCCGCCCCTAGGGGCAGTGGAGCCTCAGTTTCCCTCTAGACTCCCTTCCTTTCAGGGTCGCTGTGGCTGCAGCACCGGGCACCGGCCTGAGCCTCCTTCCCTCTTGAGGACAATCGTGACCTATTGGTCCTAGCTCAGGTGGGCACCGATCTCACTGACTCCCACTCTCCCTGCAGCCGGCGCTCCCTGTTTGAGCGTGACCTTCTGTAGACACCTCTCTGGGTTGACCCAAACCCAGTTTCCAGATAGAAAACGCAAAGCAAAATAGAAAGGCCCTGAATCCCGGTTCCCAGGGAATCCTGTGTCGTCCAGGGCGTGGCAGTTCATCAAAATCCCCCCTGAAACGTTTTGTGCGTTGGACGTGTGAGGGAACGGGGAGGAGTCAGGTGGTCAGTGGCAGCCCTGGGTCCCCTGGCCAAGAGGGACGCTCCTCCCAGGAGGCAGTGACAGTGAGAGCAGAGCCCAGCAGGGCCTGTCCCCACCCTGGCAGCACACAGCCCTGTAGGCACCAAGTGCAGGGGAGCAAGGCCCAGAGGCAGAGGAGCAAGCTGGTGGGGTCACACGGAGAGAGAAGACCTGGCTGAGCACAGGCCCCATGACCTCTGTGACCCAACCCCTAGTCCCTGCAGACCTTGCGGTCAGCCGGAGCCCCCAGAAGCCCTGCTACTCCACTTGCAGGACGCCCAGCTTGCGAGCGTGGATGGCGGTGGGGCCCGGGACCTCCAGGAGGTCCAGGGCTGGGCCAGTGCGGTGGCCAGCATCGGAGCTGCAGTCCAGGCGGAGGTGCGGGAGGCCCCATGGCGAGGCTCAGTCCAAAATGTCCGTCTCGAAGGGGACCAGGTGGTAATAGGACAGGTTGGTGACGTACGCTGCGGGGTCGTCCCCATCCTCCAGCTCTAAGGGGAACTCGCTGCCGTTCTCAAACCTGAAATTGGAAAGAACACAGGTGAGGGCCAGCTCATGGACTCCGGCTGACGTGGGGAGAGACGGGGCAGAAGGCGCTGGTGGGAGGCGCTGAGGGATCAACGCCAAACCCTCCGCGGAAGCCCAACAGCCAGTGGTGCGGGCTGTCGACGCCCACGAGGGAGTGTGCGAGGAGCCCTGGGTACCAATCAGCTGGTCAAACGGATCCTACGAGGTGCGGTGACCGCCGCAGCTCCTGGCTGAGACTGCCCTGGAGACCGCTGTCTGTACTTGGCCTCCACTCGCTCCGTACGGAGTCACCACCCTCCCTCCCCTGCTGGGTGCCGAGCCCCGGGATTGGCGGTGGGTGCGGCAGGCAGGGCCTGCCCTCGGGGAGCGGCGGCACAGACGGCACAGAGACAGGTGAGAAGGGCCCGCGTGGCCGTGGCAGCAAGCGCTAAGGAGGCTGGGGCAGGACAGGAGGCCGGAGCCTGCGAGGCCCGTAGAGATGGTGGGGTCGGGGGGGTCGTGTTTGCTTCGGGCTCTGAAGGACGGGGAGTGTTGGAATGTGGGGTGCTCACGTGGGGCGAGGGGTGTGCCCGGGAGTAAGGGGACGTGAAAGTCCTCCCGATGTGGCTTCTCTGGGAGCTGGCGCGCTTTCCCCTCCCCGTCCACCCAGACGCCGCCTCCTAGGCTAGAAAAAGAGACTCCAAAGTTTTAAAAATGCAGAACTGAGAAAAAATCGTAAGAAGGACATTCCCTCCAGGAAGGGAAACGAGAGGTGCTGCTGCGCTGTTTCCATCCTCCCCCACCTACGAGGCAGCCGAGACGCGGCGGGCCGCGTGGACGCGAGGGCAGTGGTGGGCTGCCTCCCTCCGCTGTCCCAGGAGCCCGGCCCGCACGCCGCGCCCTGTCGGTCCCCAGTGCCTCAACCAGTGGACAGCTGTAAGACCTCAACTGTATCTGGACAGCTCTGGGGTGACCAGGAAGGGCACAGGCTGACCAGACCTCAACTGTATCTGGACAGCTCTGGGGTGACCAGGAAGGGCACAGGCTGACCAGGCCACGCGGCCCCAGGCCTCTGGCTCGGAGACGCTGGAGCGCAGCGGGGTCGGGCGGAGACCGTCCCCCACACCCAGTGCGCTGTACAGAATCCCGCTGACCTGAAAGCAGGGGCTGCGATGAGAGCTTGAAAATGTTTGGATGGAACAGGCTGAAAAGGTGGGCTTTCCTCCGACAGCCGCGAGACCTGGCTCTTGGTGCCCAGCTCCTGCCTCACCCTCCCTGCGGCCCACTGCCCTGGGGACACGAGGCCGCGGGCCCAGCTGTGGACCAGAAAGCGGTGCAGCCGCGGCTCACGAGGCAGGCGGCGCTGACGGAGATGAGAGCAACTCTCCAGCTGCGTCCTCATGAATTAAATCTCTTCCCTCAAACCAGTGCTGGACCAAAACCCAAGGCAGAGTCCTGAGCATGTGGACAGGGCTCAAGCCAGAAGAGGGGCAGGGCAGCAGCGACGGCCCAGACAGCGTCCTACCACCCGACCTGTGCTCCCCACCCAGCTCAGAGGATGACTCCGAGGACATGAGGAACGAGGAGAGCTGGGATGCTTGGGAAAAATGAGTCACGGGCCTGAGGCCTGGATCCATCTGCCCTCCATGCCCCCAGCAGAACTGCCAAATGCCTCAGCCCTGGTGACCTCCCAGGAGCTGGGCATCCCTTTAGCCAACCAGACAGCAGAGGCCCAGCCGTCCCCGCCGATCCCATGCTCACTGGGCACACCTGCTCCCTGAGTGCAGTCGAGTCTGTGGTCCTGGGCACTGGTGCCCACCCGACCCCGGGCCAGGGTGAGGGCCGTCTGCTGTGACTCCACCGTGTGAGCCCTGCCGCCGGCCTGCTCTGGATTGACAGGCGTGGGGCAGATGGTGAACGCCGACAGCCTCCGTGGACGGCCGCAGCGGGGGGGTGAGGCCTCCAGCTCCACAAATGGCATCTCTCCATGACCTCCGGCCCAGTCGCCCACCCCTGCCTGCCTGACAGCCCGTCAAGGGTTGAAACAGATGGCTCCCAAGAGACGCACCTGCGCTGCCCTAGATCAGGCAGCCAGAGAGACGCCCGGGGAGCCTGCGCCAGGAACTCCCTCTGAACACTCCCCTGAGCAGCTCGGAGGCGCACGCTGCTTCGCTGGGCTTTCCTGGGATCACGGGGATGTTCGCTGGCTCTCTCCCCCTAGGAGCCAGGCGTCCTGGAGCAGGTAGCCGCCTATTTAAGATTCGTCATTCCTGTCCATGAAGAGCCCTGGGCAGCCAGGAAAGCCACACTTTTGCCCTTTCTGCTCAGCTCAAAACTGCTCACAGCTGAAGCCACTGCTTACATGTGGCCTTGTTCCAGGGTGCTGAGGGCCTCTCAGGGACAGACAGGGTCCCCCTGGGGACCACGGAGTCAGAGCTAGGACCTGCCCAACTGAGGATGGGGGGGGTCCATCTGTCTTCTCCACCAAACACTCCCTAGCCAGTAACACCCCTGCTAAGCTCAGAGACCCTCCTTCCTTCCCCCATGAATATATACAGCCTTGCACTCCACGGCGACAGCCCTGGCAGGAGCCCCACAGGTACCGAACGCACGCGCTGTACGTGTGGGTGCGGCACCGCGTGGGGTAAGGCAAGGCGCCCAGGGGCAGGCAAGAGGGCCTTCACCTCAGCCTGCCGGCACAGCCGCTCCAGCAACTCATGACACCTCCATTGTGAAGGGTTCTTAACACCATTCACCCAAGAGACACCCTGAGAACTGAGAAAGCGGGGGCTGCTGGCCGGTGCCAGTCCCACAAGCCTGACAGGGGTCCCTGTGCTCAGTCACAGAGCAGGGCTCCAGCAAAGGAGGCTCATCCTGGGGTCACACTGTCTCCTGCGGCCAATGGCCCAGAGGGGGGTCTTGGCACGTGTGCCTGGCCTCCTCCTAGTCTTCCTCTGCTACTGTGGCAGGCTAACAAGTGGGTGGAGTAGACCTGAGCTGTCCCTGGGCCGTGCCACTCCTGGGCCTGAGGGAAGACTGCAGCTGAGCTGCCTCTGCAGGGGTTCCCGGGCCAGGCGGTTTACATTCATCATCTGTGCTCTTCAAATGGCCCGCCCTGAGACAGCAGAATGGTCCCCCTTGAGGGTAAGAGAAGCTGGGAGAGGTTAAATAGCTTCCTGAGCTCACACAGCCAAGAAGCAGCCTGAACTTGGCCGTGGCATAGACAGAAGCCGAGCTGTGACTCCCCTCACGCTGTCTGGGGACCCTGCCCCCAGCAATGCACCAAGGAGATGCCTGGACAAGAGCCACGGCCGAAGGCAGCTGCGCCTCATGGTGCTCCAGGTGCCAACTAGAACACACATTACAGCCAAAAGTTCTCTCATCAGAGGTAGAAAGAACAGAGAAGACAGGGACGTCCAACCTTTGGCTGTCCAACCTCCAGTAATCAGACAGGCCCAGGGGACCGGACCAGGCCCCTTGAGCGTGGGGCGTGTGGCTCTCCCGGCACTGGGCCCTGGGCATGGAGCCACCACACCCCTCATGGCCCAGCACGCACTGGGCCCTGGAGCCCTGCAACTTCTCCTAAACGCCCCTCGCAGCCAGCCGCTCGGCCTTCTGCAAGGTTTACGAATCAAGATCCCACCAGACTCTGGAAAAGGCAAACTTTAAAACCAGTATCCAAATATGGGCAGGGACTGCTGGGGGGCTCCGGGCACATCCACCCCCTCCTCATGGGCAGCGAGCCCAGCCCTGCACGGGCTGGTGGCTCAGAGATTCTTCTACAGAATGATATTCAAATCAGCGTACTTACAAATGCTCCGCAGGGTCCACACCCAGGTGCTGGTCTTTTCCGTTCGGTATACTGTGGTCAATAACTATTGTTTCTGTATTTGCTAAACAAAATCCATTGGACCTCATGATTTCTGAAAACCAGAGCAAGACGGTAAGTGTTCAGGAGGGGTCTGAGTTTCAGGTTTACACAGATCATCCTCCTTCCCCTCCACCTACTGCCTCCCTCTCTCCCCCACGCTTCAAGAGACCTCTCTGCCATGCAGAAGCCAACCCCACAGGAGCTGCCTGCTGACCCTGTGTGAGCCGGGAGGCATGTCACTCCCACACAAGGACACCCTGGCTGTCTGAGCACTCTCCCCACACAGCCTTCCCCATGGGCTCAAAGCTGGGGTAGAATGAAAGAGCGCCGCACTCCCGTCTGTGAGCCCGCGTTGGAGACCCGTCTATCGCACAGACGTGGGGACTCTGTGCAGGTTACCCACCTTTCTGGGCTCTCACCTGTGGCTAGACAGGAATGGCATCTACCACCTTGGGTGGCTGTGCAGATGGGCTGAGATCAGTGTGCATTTTAAACTCCGGTGAAAGTGGGTGACTTTCACTGTTTTGCTTTATGTAATTCTGTGGCTAAACGGATTTCTTCCCAATAAGCACAGATTTTGGAAATTTAGAAAAGCCAACAAAGAAAAACAACTTCCTATGTCTACATCAGCCGTATGGCATTAGGTGTGGAGGGAGGGAGTCCAGTGCTCGTCCAAGGCCGGAAGAGTGGGCACAGATGACGTGGAGCCTCACAAGAGCTCTGTGTCCTTAAGACTCAGTTTCTTCCACTGAAAGATCTCAAAACTTATTAGAAAATCTCTGAAGGTCCTTCTAACTCTAAAGTTCCATGAACTCTTGGATTCCATTACATCATCTGACCTGTTCAAGCATAAAAAGCAAGAGTGATTCTCTTCTTCCTACTATCTGCGGTAGCTTTATTTACAGATCCCAAGGGACTGCGTTTCAGTCCCTTCCCGCCACAGATGAGCAGGTCTGGTAACCACAACCATTTCTCCCGGCGTCGAAGTCCTCCAGGTCCCTGTGAAGCTGGCTCCTCCCAGCCTCACCTCAGAGTCAGCCAAGCTCCATGCTCAGGAGCACTTTTGTCCTCGTAAATCAGGCCCTCTATTGACCTCCTTGTAAAAGTCATGCTTAACATATACTCCAAATGCCTGATGCCTTCTCCAATCCAAGGGATTATCAGCTTCCCGTGTGGGGCCCAACACACGAAACACACAGCTCCACACGGCCCCTCCTCACCTCCTGGCACCGCACGCCAGACAAGAACACGGCTCATCGCCCAGGGTCATTGGGCATCTGGTGCCTTAGTTGCTTGGGGGATTGTTTTCTTTATTTTTTTTCTTACACCTTAACACAATTTCGATTGGTTTATTTCTAAGTATGGAATTGCTTTTTTTAATAATTGAAACTGTCATTTTCTGCTTATTTTTAATCTTTCTAGGCATTTCTCAGTTTTTGAACTTCCTTCCACATGAAGAGAATTAAGGAAAGAAACTATTAATACACAAAAATGAAGAAAGAAAAACAGATTTACTCCTTTCCCTTGTGAGACCAAAGTAACAATTCATCAATCAGATTTGCTGAGTACTGATAAAATTCCTGCCTGACATTTTGGAGAAGGGCGGCTCATGTTTCACAGAAGCGTCAGTTCCTGGCAGTCCCTCCCTTCGTCCCGAGACCACCTGGCCGGGGCCGCAGGTCCTGAGAAGGAGCTCTGCAAACCCACGAGTCGGTACTGGGTCCAGGTCAGCTACATGTCCAGGTGCAAGAAGGGCAGAAAGAAGGCGTTTACCAAAGTCTGGCTGAACAGGCAAGACTCTGAAAACCACTAAATCTTAACAAGATAGATTAAGATTCTCTCACCTCTCAATTTAAAATGGGTGTCAGCACAGAACCACTTTCTTTATTGTTTTTATTAACTCCGACCCAAATCTGTCTTTCTCAGGAAGCACATAAAACCTCAAAGCAACCTCCGTACAGCTAGCTGACAGCCCGCGGCCCCTTTCTCCCACCCCTTTGCCAAGAAAATCTGGGGGGAGGGCTACAAGTTAAAACAAATGTCACCGCTGCAAATCATTTCTGAACAAAATTCTGAAGTTACTTTGCATACCTAATTTTTCTTAAATATGAACTTTGAAGCCCTAGAAAATGCAATCAGCCCCCCCAACAGATTTGTCAGAAATCATTCCTTAATTGCTTATGACGAGAAGCCTTTGTGCACATAAATGTGGCTTAATTGTTTGCAAGTCTGGCTGGGTCCTGGAGGACACTAAGGTATGTCTGGTGCCTCCTGCGTGGCTCTCGCTATCCCAGGCCCAGTCCAAGAAGGCCTTGCTCAGACGCAGCACATTTCACTAAAGACGGTCCCCAGAAGCTCTGGGTCCCCCCTGGGTCCCACCTCCGACCTCCATCAGCCCCCAGGACCTCGAATAACCTCTGGGCGAGCCAGGCTATGGAGCTGGCAGGTTTGCAACAACCTTCCCAACATTCATTCCAAACTGGTTTGGAAAGGGACAGTTTATTGAACAGCACGTTGTCTTTAAATACATAAGTGAGTATCAGCCCACGGCACACTTAAAACCTAGGCAAACATGCACAGCTTTTATCTGCCTGTGCCAGTTAAAAGGGGAGCACACAATCTGCCACTGTTTATTATTTTTATTTATTTGGTCACTTTAACAAAAAAGTCTTAATTTCTTAATTACAAAGCTGTACAAATTAGTGGTGGCCCAAAGTTGAAAAAGAGGTAGAAAGCATTTGGCTCTAGCCAGCCTCTAACTGCAGGGACCACCAGTTAAGCAGATGATCTTGCTAAGGCAGCGGGACTCGCAGAGAGCTCCTTCGGTAACTTTGCCGTGTGCCTTTAGCCACAGCACTGGCAGGTGTGGAGGGTCTGCAGTGTGGAGTGTGACTCACGCAGGCACACACAGATGGAAAAGCACGTGGACCCTGCCATTTAGCGAGGGCTCTGCCACTTATGTCTGGGGAGCAGGTTACTCCTTGCTCAGCTCCTTCATCTGTAAAACAGGGATAACAGTGTTTTCCTAAAGGGCATGGGAGTAGACTAAAGGAGACGCCATGCGTAAAGAATCTGACAAATGCTGGGGCTCAATACTTGATAAATAGCAGTTATTACAACCGTTATTGGTGATGTCCCCATATCTGTTGTGACATGAATAAAAATGAACCGAAGAAAATGTTATGATTCAAGAAAAATCACAGCGTCCGAAGCCTCTCTTCAAACACACGTCAAATGTGAATTTCTCAGAAATCAGTTTAGTACCTATAGCAAAAATTGCTGGCCGATTTAATTCTTTAGTTGCATACATAACTGATTCCACGAAATAGCTCATTTTCAAGCCACTTTCTGACATCTGTATTTTTCACCCAAACGAGAGCCCTGCTTTACATGTCTCACCTTTTTTAAGTTTTAATTTTGAGCTAATTTTAGAATTACACAAGAGTTGCGAAAGCAGCGCGGAGGGAGAGAGAGATCTTGCGTACCCCACACCCGCTCCTCCTAACGCTATCGTTTTCTGTGACTATGGTATTTTACCTCGGTCACATCCAGGAAGTTACACCGGCACAGCACTGTCCGCTGGAGGCCTCCTTTACTCACGTTTTTCCCGCTAACATCCCTCTGCTCTGCCCTGGACACGCGCCACGGTGCCTCACTGCACGGAGCGGCTGTGCGTTGGTCTCCTACGACCTCTGACAGTTCCTCTGTCTTCCCTCGTCTCTCTGGACCGGAACACTTTCAGTGAGGACTGGGTGCTATTTTAGCAAACGTCCCTCAGTTTAGGTCAGTCCGAGGTTTCCGAGTGACTAGACGGAGGGGACGCATTTTTGGCAGGGATCCCGCGCAGCAACGGCGCATCCCGCTCAGCTTCGCATGCTGGGGGAGAACGTGACGTCGGGGCTCCTACTTCTGGAGGGGTCGGCCTGCATCACTTGGGTAAGGAAGCTTCTGCCGGCTGTCTCCAGGGAAAGGGGACTACCCTTCCCTTGGCAGTGAACACACTTGTTGGGGGAAGATGCTTTGCGACTGTGCGAATCCTGTTTCACCTCAAACTTTCACCTACTAGTCTCGGCATCTATCAATCAGGGCATCATTCTAGGGCAACGATCACCACTGTGCCTGTCTGCCTGACGGCGACTCTCCTCTGTTTCCAACTGCAGCTGTGTCTTCACGTGCCCCACACACGCTCCCAGCCCTCACGTCAGTAACTCGCCTGCTCCTCTGCTCAGCACACGTTCAGTCCAAGCCTCGAAAGCACTCATCACGCAGCTCTCTCCCTTCCAAACCCTCTTTTCTACTGTATTTTCAAGGTACTTCACCACGAGAACAAAACCCAAAGTGGGGTCTTTTTATTAATCGGCTAACTGTGCTATCCCTGTGTGGTAAGTTAAGGTTGAGATTGTACAGACACTGGGTTAATGAAAAATAAAATTATAATTCATTTCCAGCCCCCTAAACCTGAACGATCAGGTTCTGCAACCGAAACAGAGGAGTCCAAGCAGCCAGCCGGAGGCGGAGGTTCGAATTTCCTTTAGTGCTGCGCAGCCGCAGCCGCGAGGCACAAGCCAGTTCACTTCACAGGCACTTAGATGAACAAGGGCGACGCGTGTCTGGGCCCGTGGTCCACAGCATGGCAGAGGCCGCAGTCCTTGGACTGTCCTTGCTGCGGCCCCAGCACGGCTGCGGGACTCCCGCGCGGCCGGCGCCTGGCGCCATCTGCTGGGCGCCCTGACACCCTCGTGTGTGGCCTCGTAAGAGAGCGGTCGAGGCGCGGGAGCGGCGCGTGCAGCGCAGGGGTGCAGGGAAGAGGCCACTGTCCGCCACGGCGCCCGCCCCCCTAAACGCCACGTGTCAGCAGCGCGGGAAACCGAGGCGGGGTGGAGGTGGGGCGCGGCCGCGCAGGGCGCCCTCAGGAACGCCTGGCGCCAACCGAGCAGAAGTGCAGGGCAGGGTTGCAGGGCCACAGCTCAGGCCAGGCTGGCCGCAGTCCCCAGGGAGACCGAGGGTTTGCAGCAGAGGTGACAAAAGCAAGAGGTTAGCACGGGCCAGACTCGGGCACACATGGAAAGACCAAGCAACCGGGCTTTATCCTGAGGTTAAAAATTTTAAGAAAATGAACGACTTCAGAAGTTCGAGTTTGGGTTCGACTGTCATCAGCGCTCAGGTTTGCGCTCTGGGGAGGGGAAGGCAAGAGAGAAAGCCGTGCGGACACACGCAGGTGACGCAGGGACCCGGAATCACAAGCACACCAGCGCGCGGCCACGCCGATAGCACAATGTGCCGGCGCATGAACTGTTTCTCAAGGGGATGTCAGGGCCACTGTAAACAGCAGTTTCACTGAAAAGCATCCCTGAGGTTGCCACAGTTCACCGTCTTAAGGTAGCACCCCCGCGCGGATCTAGGCTAGGATCTCACGCATTTGACTGCTGCGGGCCCCGGGCCGCGGAGCCGAGATGGCGGGGTCTGCGGGGCTCAGAGGGGGAACTCCCAGACTCAGGGACCTGCCAAGCAGAGCAGAGCAGAGAACACCCAGAGGAGTCGGGATAGTCACCTCTGGGAGGCTAGGGGCTGTCCCCCTGCCTACCGCCTCCTACAACAACACCTCTGACGGCCCCCAGCCTCTGCACTGAGACTCTCAGCCATAGGCCAGGTACAGGCTCCACGGCTATGTTAGAAGGTTCTATGCTGAGCCAAAGTCAGCCACAGTCACTCCACCCACAGGCCCTGCAGCAGTCCCCCGCTGACCCCCTTCTGATGGCAGCTGCCAACACCTGAAGGCAGTATCCTTTTCCAGCTGCCATTCCGCACGTCCGTCCCCCCACCCTTCCAACCCCTCCCCACCGCAGGCCTCTGGATGCAGCGACTCCTCTTTCGATGTTCCCAGGGCAAGCATGACACCCCGCATGACTTGGGGTCCTGACTTGCACAAGAGGTCAGGACCCCTGCTCTCCTAGACCTAAACACAGCACCCCAGCCACAACAGAAGGCCAAGGACAGCAGCAGGCCGACACCCGTCCTCAGCTCTTGCAGAAGGCAAAGAGAACATACTTAAGACTGCAACATGGCACTCTCCATCTGTCCCTGTTAGATTCCATCTCGTTATTTTCAGCCTTTAGGGTACACACAGGCCGTGGCTTTATCTAAAGCATGCACGAAAACAGGACATGCAGACAGAGGGCTGGGGAATGTTCTGGGTTGTTGTGCCATAAGGAGTTACTAGATGAGAGGCAACTCCATGCAGCTCTAGTCTGTCCCTCTCACGCTCGGGGGCCTCCGGGTCATCCCAAAGCAATGGTCCAGCCCCTCCCACAACACAAGGCCTAAGAGGATTCCTCTGCTCTTTGCTCTTTAATTTGCCCAAAACAGAGCCACGGAAGCCAGAACTCTTCCCACTCAGACTAAAGAGCAGAGGCTTCCCCATGCTCCAGGTTATGAAATGTGGACCCCAACACTGCAATTGGGATTCTAGAACCTTCTGTGAACCCTGTGAAGTTAGGACCCATAGCAATCTAACCAGGATAAATGACCTAGCCTAACCTATGAAGAAGGTTCTGGAGACCAGGTGCCAGCCAAGGAGGGGCTCCTGTACTCCCTGCTCTTGTCTCTAAGACAACACCGGAAGCTGCCTTGGGTATCAAAAGCAGCATACTACCCAAAGCCATCTGCAGATTCAATGGGATCCCTATCAAAATACCAATGGCATTCTTCACAGAAATAGAAAAACCAATCCAAAAATTCATGTGGAACCACAAAGGATGCTGAACAGCCAAAGCCATCTTGAGCAAAAAGAACAAAGCTGGAGACATCACATGACCTGACTTCAAAATACACTACAAAGCTATGGTAGTGTACTGGCATGGTACCGGCATAAAAACAGACACATGAACCAATGGAACAGAGTAGAGAACACAAAAATAAATCCACACACGTGCAGCTAACTGATTTTCAACAAAGGTACCACGCACAGACGACGGAGAAAGGACACCCTCTTCAATAAGTGGTGCTGAGAAAACTGGATATCCATGTGCAGAAGATGAAGCTAGAGCCCTCTCTCTCACCAATACAAAAATCAACTGAAAATGGAATAAAGACCTAAATGTAAGACCTGAAACAATAAGACTGCTAGAAGAAAACAGGAAATGCTTCATGACATTGGTCTGGGCAAGGATTTTTTATAACACCCAAAAGCACAGGCAACAAAAGCAAAAATAGACAAATAGGATTAAAAAGCTTCTGCTCAGCAAAGGAAACAATCAACGCAATACAAAGACAACCTATAGAATGGGAGAAAATATTTGCAAACCACGTACCTGACGGGGGCTAACATCCAGACTATATAAGGAACTCAAGCAACTCAACTCAACAGCAAAAAAACTCAAGTAATCCTTTTAATAAATAGGCAAAAAACCTAAATAGACATTTCTAAAAGAAGACATACAAATGGCCTTTTTCACAGGTCTATGAAAAAATGCTCACTATCACTAATCATCAGGGAAATGCAAATCAAAACTATAATGACATATTACCTTATACCTATTAAAACAGCTATTATCAAAAAGATAAAAATCAATGCTGGCACAAACATGGAAAAAGTGTAACTCTTATATACGGTTAGTGGAAATGTAAATTATCATAACCATTAACTGTACGGAGGTTCCTCAAAAAATCAGAAATAGAACTACCATATGATCCAGCAATCCCACTGCTGGGTGTATGTCCAAAGGAAATGAAATCAGTATTTCAAAGAGCTATCTGCACTCCCAAGTTTACTGCAGCCAAGATATGGAATTAACCTAAGTGCCCATCAACAGGTGCCTGGATAAAGAAAATGCAGTGTGTATATACACGATGGAATACTATTCAGCCATAAAAAAGAATGAAATCCTACCATGTGGGGCAACATGGATGAACCTAGAGGACATTATGTTAACTGACATGTGCCAGGCACAGAAACAGAAATGCCACATGATCTCACTCACGTATGGAATCAAAAACAGCTGATCTCATGGAAGAGGACAGTAGAATAGTGGCTCTCGGAGGCCTGGGAGGGGAGGGGGCACAGTGAGAGGTTGCTCAGCAGATACGAAGTTACAGACACACAGGAGGAGTAAGTCCTGGTGTTCTACTGCACAGGAGGGCGACTGCGGTTATCAATACTGTACGGAATACGTCAAAAACGCTAGAAGAAAGGATTCTGAATGTGCTCACCACCGGGAAATGATTCATGTATACGGTGATGGATATGCTAAATGTCCTGGTTTGATTTTTGCACAACATATACATGCATCGAAACATCACACTGTACCCCATAAGTATGTACAAAAATTATGGGTCAATAAAAACAAAACCAAAAAAACAGTTAAAGAAAAAAAAAAAAGGCAAAAGCCACAGGCAAGCCCGGGCGTACGCACCACCTGCACTGCACACAGCTCTGCAAACACCTCCTCCACTCCAGGCTCTAGAACCCGCCATCCAGTCCAGCTCTCCCAAGCACACAATCAGGAATCTCGTCCCTGCCGTGGCACGTAACTCGGCAAGGACTCTTTCACATCCCTTAGCATCAGTCACTCCGTCCCCACTGTCCTCCGTCTCCCCAGTTCCTTCCTGGTAGACAGCTCTGGGCTCAGAGCCCCTCTCGTCTGCCAGCTCTTCCCCACCGCCTTCTAGGTCCCTCCTTCATCCTCCACTCAGACATGGAACGGTGGACGCAGGCTCCCTCCCCTCCTCCTCCCTGCTGACCACGTGGTTACGTAGGAGCTCTCCTTTGGCCAAGCTGTGTCTCCTCTCACAGCTGCCTCCTCTCCCTGCCCAACATCAAACTCTAGCAAGACCTCACTCAAATGTCACCTCCTGGTCACAAGGTGACTGCCCCTCCCTCGGGGAAACCCAGTCCTAGAGACTCTCAGGACAGAGCTCTTTCTCCTACAAAATGCTCCTGAGCAGCCTTCACCAAAACAGCACTGCAAAAAATAAGTCTGGTGTTCTTGGGACACGGGCAACCCAGATCTCTGGTAGTCACCCAACTCAGACTGGCCGAGAACTCCAGCCTACCCTTCCTTCCTTTCCGACCAGCCGGTAGGTGGCCGGTGGCAGGTCCTCTGCAGACAAGCCCATCTTAGCTGACCTTTGCCTCTTCAGCACTAGAAGGCACAATCCCATGTCAACACTAACGAGACCTAAAGTGTAAGCGTCCGTTTTGGTTGTGGCTGCCCTAAAACAAAGAACCAAATTCAGCGCCACGTGATATGAACTCTCGCTTCAGCAGGCTGGACTACTTACTGATTCTAGCACTTCGCTTCAGAATGCCTGTCAATGCTTCCATCATTATACTATTTCTCAAGTAAGTTCCAACGTACATGCAAGTAAGTCCCTTTGGAAGCAGGAGGCGTATGAACTGCAGGTAGAACGTACACTGCTTAGCAGAATTCGGGCAACAGTCTCTGTCTCTGTGTTCACAACCCTGTTGGATCATCTTTCTGGAGCCCAGCGGTGCGTGTGCCCAACAGTGCAGACATCCAAGGGGGCGGTTTCTGCGGACCACAGCCAACAGCGGTCCGCCCCCAACACCTTCACAGCAGCTCTTACCTGATATTTTGACTGGACTTTGGAAGCTGGGCTGTATTTTATGTACGTTATCATTTTTTAACACCTGGTCCAGAGGCGATCTTTCAAAGAAGGTGAGCACAACTTCTGACCTAGAATACTGGGAAGAAACACAGTCATTACTGAAAACGAACAGCTCCCACCAGCGGGCCCGGCCTGCTTGCCTAGAAGAGGGCAGGGCTCCTCCGCAGCCGCGGCCCCGGCGCTGACGCCCAGGGGCTGGGCACACGCTCTGGTGCCCACTGCACCCGCCAGGCCGCAGTCGCCGCGCACTGCTCATGCTCTCGGGAGGCGGCGACGCGAGGCCTCAGGGACGGGGTGGCTCGTGGAAGCAACGGCCCTGCGAGATGGAGCGAGCAGGCCAGCCTGTTTGGCGGAGTGGACGCCCTTCGAACCCCAGAGATGCCAGCCCTGCCCCCTGCTGCCGCACCTTGCAGGGCAGGCTTATGACGGTCTTCAGCAGCTTCTCCACCTCGTTAAGCCTGGTCTCTATGTCCTGGGCATCCTTTATGGCGACCAGACCTGGAATTGAGACAGAAAGGCCAAAATCAAAAATGTAGGCCAGGAAATGTGCTCCCAATGAAACACACAACCACGGGCGCCCATGACCCCCGGTGTGCTCCCCGATACAGAGATGTCTGGGGAAGCCCCCTCAGCCTCACGGACATACAGCCCTGTTCCGAAAGTCCTCCTCTGAACCCCGTCTGAAGTTTCAGCTACCCAGTGACTGACGTCTGTGCCGGAGTCGACGCCGTCGATCTGAAAAGCGGACGGTAGGCTGAGGGGCAGGGAGGTGGAAGACCCCTCCGAGGGGGACAGTCTGGGCCACTCAGCCCCTGCCAGCGTGGCGGCTGCAGCCAGGGAAGGCTGGTCCGGGATTGACCCCGCAATGACACGGGGAAGGACTCACTCTGCTGGCCACAGCTGCCCAGACCACAAGGCCCATGTAAACGGAGCCCCTATTTAGACAAGTTTAAATGCCACGTTTGGAAGGAAAAACGTCAGATCCGTGCCTAGAGAAAACGAAAGTGGGCACGACTCTCGGCACTTTCCAGGAACCTGAGCATCTGAGCTTGTGACAGTCCCGGGAGCCCTGAGTGGCTGTTGGGCCATGCAATGGTTTATTTTTTAAATGCTATAGCTCAAGGCGTGGGGATTAGGAGTGCTTTTCTGTCTCCTCGTGAAAAGTGCATAACTTGACTCTTCCCGCTACAGTTTCTCTCCCTCAGCGTCCCAGGGGTGGGGGAAGTTAGATTCCCAAGGACACCGGCCTCTCCCCTATGCTTCACGTGACTCAGGATGTCACCATGCCTGTGAGCTACAACCAAACCTCAGTCATGGAACTGAATTTTTTCAGAAGTTCTGGTTTAGTTTTGTTTGACAGTGGAAAGGGGTGTTCGGTTTTCGGGCAATTCATTGCCTAGGTCTACAAAAGAAATAAAAATGATTTCCTAAACTGACTGAAATTAAGAAGCCGCAGAGCATACGGCCCACGGAAGCTCCACCAGGGGCTCCCGGACGTAGGGCAGAGGTGTTTCTGAAAGCCTGGGCTATAGTGGGGCGTCCTTTACAGCGGGCGTCTGTCCGCTGCAGTCGAGGCGAAACCCTTCTCTCCACTTCCTTAAGCACATGCCAGGCGCCGCCTTCACCTGGCCCACCTGGTGCCCAGGTGTCCCTGTTTGTCAGCAGGGCTGACTGGTCCAGCCCCACTGCACCCTCCTCCGCCACACAAGGCCCAAGCAACCAGCCACCCAGGCGGCAAGAGTCCGAGAGGTGGCAGGGTGGGCCGTGACTTGCCCACTGGAAACCACCAGGCCTCTGTCCTTGGGACTTGTGCACACGCCCAAGCTAGATGCCCTGGCCCTCACCAGGCCACCCTCTGCCCCAGCCCTGCCCCACCACCCTGCATGCTGGGGGAAGGAGGAGCAGGAAGATGAACAGAATGAAAATGCCAGAGTGTCAGATTCTCTGGATGCCTTGTCCCCAAGCCCTGAATTCCTCGCATTTCAAATATTTATATACCGCAATTTATACACGTGTCTCTCTCTTTAAATATACATGCGCCACTCCTCGCACCAAAATGCGTTGATCCTCTGCTTGCTACGGAGAAGTCTACAGAGGAAAAGAGAGCCAATTCAAAAGTCTCAGAAAGTTGTTTCTAAAGCAAAGACAATTACATAACTCATCCCCACAAAGTGCTTCTTTATTCTAAAACAAGCAAAACTACTGTTATATTTCAACTTTTATTACAGCTAGAATACTAGTCTCAAATTGATCAAATTTATGACACAGTAGTTGTACTGTCATGTTCTGTAGGTACGACTTACGGCAAGATAAGTCAACACACACAGCATATTTATACCCATTTCATAGCATGTAAAGCATAATTTAACAACTTACAAATATAGAGGTTTATAGTTCTTTTATCTTTGCTTTGATGACATATCTTTGGCTACATCTTTGATTTTAATTAATGTTCCGCTCTTGGTCTGGTTTATAACCTCCGAGGACAACATTTATCAAGATAAACACATTCTGCTGTATCTTCTTTCAGTTTGGCCAAATTTAGCAAAATAAAATCCAGCATGCATAGCTAAATATGAACTTCAGATAAACAATGAACAATGCAATCGTAGAGACAGACTTATACTAAAGACATATTTGCTGCTTATTTGAAATTTGAACTTAACTGCATGTCCTATATTTTACTTATCTGGCAACACTATCTTCTTTGTGACCCATTTTCCAGACTGAAGCAGAGAGAGACAGGCAAGAGTGCCTGGTCCAGCCTCTGCAAACAGTGTGAGTATTCTAGCTGGGCCCGCAGACCCTCCCGGATCTGACCCGGCCCACCTTTCCAGCTCTGTGCCCTGTGAAACACACCCTTGTGCCAGCCCCACTGGCCAACATGGCCCCCACATAGTCGCACAGCACTGCCCACCTCCGGGCCTGCGTGTGGAAAAGCCCACCCAGGCGAAGGCCACCTGCTCTTCGACGGTGGGGCCTGGTCCTACCTCTGGGCCCCCAGAGAACCCATCCTGACCTCTGCAGCCTTCGCCATCCTGCGCAATAACTGTGCAGTCACCTGCGGGTCTCCCCAGGTCCCCCATGGGAACCTGAGGCTAGAAGGCACCTTGGGCTCATCTCCTACCACCAGCAACCAGCACGGTGCCCGCCGCACGCACGGGATCTGATGTTCACTGGCTGTCTACGGAACAAGCTAGCGCCAGACGAGACAGAAGTCGAAGTTGACAAGCATCGGTCACCTTCCTGGGTGTGTGCTCTAGCTTGCCCTGGGATAGCAGCCTCAGCCTGACCCAGGCTGGGTTCCAGGCCTTGCAGGAGAGGGCTGCCCGAGGGCCAAGTGGCACCGAGACTACTGAGCCCTTCTGGTTTGATTTCATTTACGGAAATGTGCAGAACCATATTGCTTGCTTTCTCCTGTTTTTATGTTTCTAAATGGAAGCCAAATAGTGCTCCTTGGAAATGTAAACATGCTTAAAAACTAAACAAAAGGAGGCTAAGAGAACTTAAATAGGGAAAAAGATGATGCTGGAATCCCTCCCTGCAAACACAGAAATGACAGCTCGTTATTTTTTAAGCTCTGGACTTTTAGTTAGGGGCATGTTTATCATTTAACTTCCCATCCTGGGCCAGGTG